CCCATTCACTCGCTCATGGTGCTGATAGTGTTATGTGCCTCTCTTGAGAGCCCATGAGCTCCTGCTTCCTGTCCCTTCGTCGATGTATCCAAGAGGCAGTGGGAGTGCCCGGGACATGCACACACTCCATAGACATCTGTTGAGTGAACAGTCTCGGGCTCCCATCCGTGACTCCCGAGAGTCTCTGCCTTAGGGAGGTGTGGCTGCTTCCTTCTTTCTGGGTCTCATTTCCTGGAGATGCCACATACGCTTCTTCCTTCGTGCGATGGCCACTAAGCACCCACTTAGTGGGTGGTGCAGGGCACTGTCCCAGGGCAATGCACACACAGCCCTCAGGGAGGGCTGAGGAGGGAGGCGAGGAGGGAGGCGAGGACAGCCAATCAACCATGCAGCATGTCGGCCAGAGATAAAACAGAAAGGAAGGAAGGAGGAAAGCATGCTGGGCCTCACTACCCACAGGGCTGTGCGGGGCTTGCCAGGAACCTGGAAACCCCCGGGAAGTCAGGGACAAAGGGCGTTCAAGCCAAAAAAATGGACTCTGCCCCAGAGGTGGCATCGCAGGGGATCCCTCTGTTCTGAGTTGAATTGTGTCCCCCAAAAAACTCACGTGTTGAAGTCCTGACCCCATTTCATCAGAATGAGACCTTATTTGGAAACAAGGCCACTGCAGATGTCATCCGTTAGGATGGGGTCCTACTGCAGAAGGATGGGCCTCGATCCAAGATGACCGGGTCCTTCTAAACTGGGGAAGTAGGTCACAGAGATGCATGCGGGGGAACACCCTGCAACGATGCAGGCAGGGGTTGGGGCGATGCACCCACTAGAAACTCCACAGTCTGCCGGCAGCCACCATGGCAGAAGTGAGGCTGGAACGGAGGCTCTGTGCCAGCCTTAGACTCAGAGGCACCAGCCCTCCCCACACCTGGATCTCAGACCTCTGGCCACCAGGACTGGGAGACCATGAGGCTCTGTTGCTGAAGCCTCCAGTTGTGATTCTTCGTTGTGGCAGCCCCAGGACTCTCCTACAACCTCCTAGCAGGAAAGGGAAGAGGCGTGCCCACGTCACAAAGCCCTGAGCCTCCAGGTCTGGTCCTGAAGCTGCTCCCCACCAAGTGGCAAAACTACGGTTTCTCCTCCAGAGCTTTCATATCATGGACAATAAGAGCTTCTCTTTCTGTCATTTTCAAACAGTCAATGAAAAGGTTGCTAAGCATATAAGCAATTTTAACTGATTCATTGATCTGAATACTTTTAAAGTAAGACAGTAAGTATTTCTGCCACACTTTGAAGTCAGGCTCTGCGCTCCGTCTCCTCCCTCAGGGTTATTTTGTAGCCATTAACAATGTGTTCCTTTTATCTGGGGCCTTCAATTAATTGAATTTCAAAAAATACTCTGAAATTTTTTTATATAAAAATCAGCTAACTCCTGGAGGACATTCGTGCAAGATTTACTGCCACGGTAATTAAATGCTGGGTGCATTACACTGGTCACTGCAGGCGCGCTGCCACCACCAGCACCGAGGTTTAACTTCAGGATTTGGAATGCTCCCCAGATGACTGTGAGACCAGGGAGCACGCTTTAATTTTTAGGACTGTCTTTGGGTCGCTGGCACATGTTCCTGGATGAGCCCTTAAAGACAGCACGCCGATGCTCGAAGGGCAGCCAGGTGCAGACAGAGGCCATCTCCTCACCGTAAATGACAAAACGTGGTGCACTGACCCGCACTCCTCTTCCCTCACTTCCTGTCTCTTTCCCAGAATCACGGAAGTGGAGGTGAGTTTCATGGACCCCCCGCAAAGCCCTGCTGGGGAGCATAGGGAAGAGGTCACAATGCCTTGCCATGGCAGGACAGGACTAGTACCAGAGAACTCGGCCTGAGGGTGGCACCCAGACCTGCGTTCCTGGGGCTGACAGAGGTCACCCTAAGGAGGGCTCTGCCTCTTCTTCTCACCTATTTACGTACTGACCCATGAAGACGCTACGTGGTGTCTTGTCACCTTCTATTTATTAAAGTACATTTTGCATCCAAGTACTAGAGAATCATTCATGTCAGTAAGAGCCCTCAGGAAGCAGTGATGCTGTTTCTCATTTCTGCCGTTTCTCATACATTCTCATTTCCGGAATGTATCCTCCCTGCAAATTCCAGGAGGAGACCCCATGAGCTCCCAGGTTTCAGGGCCTCTCCTGCATATATAGTTCGGTATTTTTGAGGTTCCTACCACATATAGCAATATGCAAATAGTAATTGCATTTAAGATACACTTTTACATTTCTTCTCTACCTACTGAAGATTTTCTTAATGCTACCTCAAATAATCCAAAACAATCTTCAAGTCCCTTGGCAGTCGTGCATACTGCTGCCTTTTTCCACAATTTAAAATAACTTAATCTCATGTGGATGTCTCTTCTAGCCGGGGTTCTCATGATTTGAAGTTGTGCCAGGTAAACATTTCAAATTTGAATATACAAACTGCAGACATGGCTGGAACTAATAGCCTTTCGCTTTTAATAATGAGGTCTTCTTAAAATTTGCTGCTGCATTTCAGTATTACGGACACAGTTTCTTCATCCTGAAACGAGGAAAAACAAATAACTTTCCAACTTTTGCTCCATTGGCCTCATTCCAGCCTCAGGAGGACAGGACAGCAGGAGAAGGAGAGTGAAAGGGGCTCAAGCTTCCACCCCTAGCTAGCCACTGGTGGTCACTCTGGAGCAGCCATGCGCACCACTGATCCTGGGCCACACAGCGCTGTCTCCACCCAGATGCCACTGTGCTTGGAAAAGAGACTCACTGTGTCTGCCCTTGTATCGTACAAGGGAGGCTGCCCCTGCAGTGCTGGCTGGGACCCAAGGCTGGGGACCCCCTGAAGCAGCCAGGAGCTCAGGAAGCTTCTGGAGATGAAAGACACTGCGGTGCATGCCACACCCCTAGGGAGCTGTGCCCTGCAAACATTGCCCTTCTGCTACGTCAGGACCAGCCTTCCAAGGACAAGAGCATCTCTGGGAACCAGTGCCCAGGGATGCTTTGGGGACCATCCTCACTTCAGACAGGTTTCCCAGGCCTCCTTCTTGGCCTGAGGAAGGGCCTCCTTCCCCTCCGGGGTCTCTGGAAAGGGTGGAGAGGATGAGGTTGTGAGGCCCTGGATGACAACAGGCACGGGGGGCCACATTAGGACCAGGCCTCAGGACAATTCAGCCTGGTGTTCTCCACCCCAGATGCCTGTGCATGTTACAGCACCATCCAGGTAAGGAGGTGGAGGCGGCAGCATGGCCAAGCCCTGGGGGCACAAAGACTTCTATTTCAGATTGCACTCTGGGGGCCCTGCCAGCAGGAAGAACAAAAGAGGGATTGAAAGAGGATCCACAGGGGAAGCGGGATACGGAGCAGAGGCCAGGCACAGCCGGCCCTGGAGGACACTCCCCTGCAGGGGTGGCCCAGGCTGCAGACAGGCTTTCTGGATTGATTGCTTGCTTGGAGGCCCCAGACAGGTGTTCCCTGCCAGGCCACCTGGCCAAGACCTGGGAATTTCCATGCTTTCCTCAGAGTGCCAGCCCAGGAGGGCCTGGAAACACAGCAGAGGGGTGGGGGCAGCTCCCCTGCCCACAAGGTCAAGGGCTGAGGGGCAGAGGGCAGCTGCTGATGCCCACGGTCCCTTGAGTCAGGAAATCAGGGTAAAGTCAGGCCTGGCAGTGTGCAGAGGACCTGTGCTGAGGATGGAGCACCATGGTGGAGGAAGACACAGGTGGCCCTGCCCTCCAGGGAAGGGGACAAAGTCACTCATGAAGCCTCGCTATGGGTGGGAGGTGGGGTTGTTTCAGAGGACGCCTGACAGTCTCTGAGCTATGACGATCCTAGCAGTGGAGCCCTTGCTGGCGGGCGGTGACCCTGAGCTCCTCATCTGTGGGCCTCAGGGTCTCTCAGCCACTGTTGCTGCTGTTGAAGAGGCCACGGTGCCTATGAAAGGAGTTCACTTCGTGAAGTCAGGTTGGGAAGGCACATACTCTTTGCTTACACTGAGCCTTAACAAGAACCTAAGTCCACACGAGCTTGCAGGCAGTCCTGATGCACTGTCCCTGTTGGTCCTGAAGGCCTGCCAAGATCACTGGTGTGGCACTGAGGGGCCTCCTCTCCCTTCTGGGGTGCAGCCTGCTGGGCCTCAAGTTCCTCCTGGCTGGAATCGAAGACGCTCTCCCCACTTCCCAAGGAGGATGATTCCATATGACATGGAGGGTACTCCTGCTTCCACCCATCTGTCCCACAAGCTTTGAAGCAAGATGGAAGGAAGAGACTTAGAACCAGAACCCCTTTCCCTGTGCCCGAGTCTGCCCATGGGCTGCACTGGCCACTCACGTGCACGGTCCATGCCATGTCTCACAGCCCACTCCACCTTCCCCGCTGTCAGAGCAGGCCAGAAACCAAAGCCTCATCCTTCCCAGGGGAGCCCCTGGATCTCTGGATGAAGCACCTGAGCTGGATGCTCTGAGCCCTCTTCTTTCCCCGTGGAAGCCCCGCGGGTGGAGGAAAAGAAGGATGAACTAGGCTTGCAGACAAGAATGGTTCCCTGTGCAATGGTGAGGCAAGCAGATGCCTGTTCCCTTTCCCACAGCTGCAGAGAGAGCTGAAGAAAACGATGCAAATAACTTTTTCAGAGATTGCCCAAGTCGACAAATCTCAAATGTCATTGCATGACCACAGATGACAAGAAACAAGTTCATGGTTCTTTGAAGTAAAAATGATGGGGGAGGAGGGTAGAATAAAGGAAGAAAGTAAATATATGTGAGGATCGCCCCAAATGCCCCATGGCACTGCCCAAAAGGACATCCTCCAGGTAGGAGTGAGGCTGCCCTGTCCCGTGCATTGCCACTAATGGGGGCAGCATGGGAACCAGGAGGGTCATCTGCAGCCCCGACCTGGCCAGTGCCTGGGAGAGTGGCCCTAGTTCCTTCATCCCCCAGGAGCCCTGCGGCTGCATGGTCCTCCAGTCCCTTCTGGCTCTGACCTGGGCAGCTTGTCACCTGCTGCTCCAGCTTCCCTTCGGGGCCTGTCTTGACCTCTGCAGAGCAGCAGCTCTGTGGATGACAAACAGACCTGTGCCCGGCTGCGGGGCCGGGGGAGCGCGGGCAGGGTAGGGGCTCCCAGCTCCCCGAGGGAGGGGCAGGGCGAGCGGCACTTAGGCCCACCTTCCCTGACTGGGTCCCGGCCTCAGGCTGCAGAAGCAGAAGGCTCTCCAGCCCAGCCTGAGCCCAGGCCAGAGGTCCAGCCCCCATGCCCTCCCCCAACCCTGGCGACTGGGACCAGGCTCCCCACCAGGGCATGCCTCCCTCAGCCCGGGCAGGACACAGACTCATTGGCCCCCAGGCGGCTTATCACTGTGGTCCATTCACGCCCACTTGTCCGGGTCCTGGTGCCCGCACCTAGGCTCTGCCCCTGCCACCGCCTGCTGTTCTGAGAGTGAGCCGGGTAGGGACTAGTGTGGGCACCAGGACAGAACCCAGAACTGGGCCGTTTAGCACCGAGCGGGGTGGGGGAGGGGCGGGGGAAGAAAGGCAGGACCTGAGCTCCCCGCAGCCACTTCCGAAGGTGGCTCAGGCCGAGCAGCAGCCTCGCCCTCCACAGGCCCTGGGGGAGTGGGGGAGGGGGAATACTAAGACCTCGGAGGGACTCAGGGAAACCAGGCCGACAACAAGCGTGGCTATTTCCGGGCGCGGCTCTTCGCGCCGGGTCCAGGCGTCCCTGGGTGGGGCAGCCCAAACGCGGAGAGGGTCCCCGTGGGCCGAGGGCCCGAGGCCGCAGCGAGCTTAGCGTTTGGCCAAATCTGGCTCGCGCGCCTTCCCACTGTCCTGTTAGGGCTGGCTGACCTCTCGGAGCCCTGCGTCCCCGCCCAAACAGCGCCCAGGGCCACTGCTGGCACCCAGGGCGCCCTCACCCCAGCTCCTGCACCCGGTGCGCCGCGCGCGGGCCGGACGGAGGGGAAAGTTGGCAAGAGCTCGGCCCCCGCGGGAGAAAGCGTTAATGGGCGGCCGGGTGGGAGCAGCGCGCTCGCTCGCCCACGTCACGCCGGTGCGGGCTCGGCTGACGACCGCGGCGCCTGGGGACGCCGGCGCGCTCCGCTCGCCAGGTGCTCCGCCTGGAAATGTCTCCATTAGTTGTCGCCGGCTCCCCGCTGGAGCGCGCGCACCGAGCTTCCGCACGGAGCCCTCACGGGCTGCCGGGAGTGGCCCAGCGCCACCGCAGGTAGGTGAGGTCCCCGCTCCCGCCCCCGCCCCGGGGTTCCGAGACCCCTCCCCCCTTCCGAGGAGGCGGAGGCTCCGCGCGGCCGCCGAGGGGCGCGGGCGGCGGCGGCTGCGGCGACTCCCCGGTGCGTCCCGTGCTGCGCTCTGCTCCCCGCGGCCCTGGCAGCCACACGGCGCGGGCCGGAGCTTCCCCAGCTCAGGTAGGGAGTGGGCTCCGCCGCACAAACTTTGCGAGGATTGCTCTTGCGCTGGAGGGGACAAACTTTGCTACCCGCCGGTGGGCTCTCCAGAGGCCGCTGCGTTTGCTGCAAGTTGCGGGAAGCAGGGTGCGCGGGCCGGCGCGGGGCGGGGGGTGAGGGGCTCGGAGTGGCCAGGTCTGAGTCCTGGACGCCCCGACTGCGCTCCTTCCAGCCTCAGGCAGTGCCCAGGGAGCAAGCGGCGGGGGCGCAGGGGGAGAGCGGAGGGAGAGGGCTGCGGGCCCCAGTGGAGGGCGGTTGGGAATCCAGAGATTCAAAGCTCGTCCCTGTGGCTCCTACTCCTACCACTGGCTTCGAGGGGGTCTCGGGGATGGACTGTGAAGAAATGACCTGCCAACCTCGAGGTTCGCCAATGCGGCGTCAGCGACCGTGGGGCCTCTCAGCCCCACACCCCACCCGGGTGTCCCGAGCAGTGAGCGGGCACAGGCGTCCCCAAGGTTTCTGGCCCCAGGTCTCAGAAAGAAAGGCCCTTGCCTGGTGCCCCGGGCTCCCGGCTTCGCCTTTGGCTGGGGTCAACTTCTCTGGGATGGAAGGAGCTCCCTCCGGACGAGCTCTTGTTGCGGGGAACTGGTGGCCCCTAGGGTAACTCCTGAAACACCAGGGCTAGGCTGGCCGAGGAAGGGTCAGGGCCCTGCCTGTCTCCCCGGAGGCCTTCCATGGTTCCGACAGCCAACAGTAACCCCGTCAAAATACGCGGCCCGCCTGTGCTTCGCGTTAGGGGCTGACCATCCCCTGCCTCCCCTGCGGCCTGCTCCGGCCCTGGTCCTCCGCTGCTTTGGAGCGCTCCAGGCCAGCGAGAGCACCTCACCTCCCTGAAGCTGAGCTGGTGCTGTGTAGGCCGGGAGCCGGGTGACTTCTGGCCCACCTGCACACGGGGATACCGGGGGTCCCTAGAGGGAGGAAGGCTCAGCAGTCCGGGTCTATGCAAACGCGTTCAGCTGTTACCTGAGATGCTGACAGTCCTATTGCTGGTGAAAGGGACATTGGGTGCCTCCGCTCCAGGCTTGGCCTTTTGGTAAAGGCACTTGAACAGTATTCCAGTATTATCTATGGGAGAAGGGTGGCCCAGTGAGAATCCCCGGTTTAGGCAGGTGGGCCTAGGCCAGGCTACAGGGTTTCAGCGAGGTGTCCCGGTGGTCGCCTGCAGGAGACAGGCTGGATTGACCCTGTGTCCCGGAATGAGTAGTGGGGCCTGGGTGAGGCCGGGCGGGTCAGGAGGCTTCCTGGGCAGTTGCGAGCTTCCTGAGGCAGGGTGACTGTGACTGGGCCCAGACCCCAGGCGCTGGGGCCTGCTGGCGGGCAGGAAGTGGAGCGTGGGTGTGCAGCGGGCTGGGAAAGCCGATTCAGAGGCCAGGTTTCTGGGTCAGGGAGAAAGGGTCGCCCGCTGGTGGGGACTAGAGCGTCGATTTATGCACACAGGCTTGAAAGGCAAAAGAGAACAGGAGAAGTTGGCGGTGGTGCTCAAAAGAAGCCCCCGAACACCCTCCCGCACGGGCCCCCACGGACTGGCTGCGCTGGGAAGTGGAGGCTGCTTCTCCCAGACTCTGCTCAGAAGATGAATGGCCGCCTGCTCTGGGGCTTCGGCTCCGCTTGAGCCCCGCCGGGTCTGGAAGGAAGGAAATGCACCAGCCTCAGGTCTGGGTGGGCTGAGCCGTTCCACTAGAGCCCAGGGGTGCTGGGCGTAGGTGGCTGGGCCCCTGGGCCCTGGCTCTCCTCTTCAGCCGGCTGAGCGCTCACACTGGCTGCGGCCAGGTCCCCGGGAATAGGTGACGAAGGGACAAGCCGCCGCTGAATGCCTCCCCTCTGGGGGTCTGGACTCCCCCTCCGAGCCCTTGGCCTGGCTGGGTTCGCGCCCTTCCTTCAGCCGGGCCTCATTACTGGAGAGAGCGAGTTGTTTGTAAACAATAAATAATGGGAAGTAGGAGGATGCTCCGGGAGAAGCCAGAAAACTGGAAGGACTGAGGAGGAGGGAGGGTGGGAGAGGGGAGGAAGGTGGGTGGGGGAGGGGAGGAGCTGGAGGAGAGGGAAAGGGGTTGAGAGATTCATTTCTAGCGAGAAGCCCCGGTGGCTAGTTTCTTATTATTTACAGGAAGGTGATATTAGCGATTCAGGTGAGAAAGAAATAAACACGGTCTGCCGCGAAATCAATACAGAATTCAGAAACAATTATTAATGTCGTTTGACTCGTGTTCTTTATATATTTCTCGCGGCTACCGACGCTAAACTGTCTGAATAATTTGCATGGAGCGGCTATTCATTATTTCCGATGGTTTCCCTCTGCAAGCAGCTCGGACGTGGCCCGCTCCGGTCCAACGCGATCGGAGAACTCGTATTTTCGTCTGTAAATTAAAGCAATTACGCAGCAGATATTATATGATGTGTACTGTGGTCTCCAGATAGTCATCAATCACCTTCAACCGAGCTGTCAAAAGAGCGGGCAGATTTCGTTTCTGGGAGGCAGGCTTGCAGCTGGGGAGAGGGCGAGGACGTCATCATTAATTAGAGGGTGACCCTGGGGCGATTCACAGGTCTGAACCCAGGAATCTTTCTGAGCAAGTCTGCACAACGCTGCCCTGCACGGCTTCTTTCCCAACTTACCACGGGAGGCCGACCCAGGGGGCGAGGGCAACAGGGGCGAGCGCCGGTCCCGCAGGGCGGTGGCGCAGAAGGCGGGGAGCCGGTTCGGGATGGCCTGGGCGCCCCCTTGCCGCCTGCTCACTGGCGTCCGCTTTGAATTTGGGCAAGGTCCCAGGGAGGGTACTGGCTGGGGGAGTGCTGGGGCGGGCGCTGGGTCCCCTCTCCCGATTGCTCCGTGCGCCCCAGGCAGAAAACTGGGCAATACGGACAGGGGAGGGCGCCTTGGCCAGGCACCCAACGCCCCCTCCCTCGCAGCCAGCCCTGCGGGGAGCCGGGAGGGGCGAGCGTAGCGGGAGGGGCCGGGACCTGGGTTGAGGAACCTGCTCTTCCGATCGCGCAGGGCCGCCCGGCAGTCCCCGGCTTAGCCGCGAGGGGCAGGGGGAGGCCGGCGGAGCGCGGCGGGCGGAAAGGGGATGGGGGAGGAAAGTCCGGGAGGTGAGGCGGGGGCGGTGGGCTGAGCGGGAACTTAAACGATCCGGGTGGAGAAGATGGGGCGTTCTCCGAGACACTTGGCTGTCCAGAGGTGCGAAGCCGGTGGGCGCGCGCCCGGGGCGGCCCTACAGCCCTCGGGCCACCAGTCTCAGGGTGTCGGGCTCTGACTAAGGCCCCGAAGCCCCACGCACCTGAGGACATTTTGACCGGCTCTTGCGGGCTCTCTTGCGGCCGCAGTGGGTTCTGAAAGTCCATTCCGGCGTAGGGTGGAAACCGAAGGGAGGCGTTGCAGATTCCCGATAAACAATAGTGACGAGACGCGCGGGGCGCCTGCGAGCCCCTTCCTGCCACTCGGAGCAGAGCGCGCGAGCGCGAGGCCGGGCCGGCAGCCTGCGCAGCGCCGGGCTAATTTTAACTGTTGATTACATCTTCAGCGTGTCCATTCATAGGTCTCATTTGTAATTGAGACGAATGATTACAGTGGGGCAGGAAGGAGCAGCTGCTCATTAATTAATTTCTAATTAAAAGTGCCTCTCGTTCTCGGGTGACTAAAGAGAAACACCGTTCGCTGGGCGATATTGACTCGGATGGAATTCATTTGCTAACGCCCCGAGGAATGGCCCCTCCGTCCACCGCGCGGCCGGGACTGTCCTGGCCCCTCCCGGCCTGAGCCGCCGGCGAGTGACCGGCCATTCTGCGGCCAGGCCGGGCTGCGCGAGGTGGGGCTGACGTCAGAGCCTCCGCCGCTTCAAGCCGCGTACATCTGACTTGACGGGTTCGCGCGACTCGTTTTTTTTTTTTTTTCTTTTTCGTAAAATATGCATTTCTGTCGCCGCTGCGAGGCCACTCGGTCCCAGAGCCCCCTCAAGCCTCCGGAATGTGAAGTTAAAAGAATCGCTGCGGCCACCGCGGCTCACTTTGTTACCCGGTTAGGAAAGTTTGCGGAGCGCAGGGATGGACTAACCAGCTCTCCTGCTTCGCCCTCCCAGCACCTAAAAGCCTGCAGCCCCGGAGCAGTGGCCGCGCCACGCCGGCCCCAGAGCGCAGAACCCTGCAGGCCCCGCCCGTCCGCCCCGGGCCGCGCCCGCCATGTCCTACCCGCAGTTTGGATACCCCTACTCCTCGGCTCCCCAGGTAAGCGGAGCCCCGCCCCGCCCAGGCCCTCGCAGGTGCCTGCAGGGCGGATGGGGCGGGGGTTGGGGGGGAGGGTGTCCGACCTACGACTGCCTGCGGCTTCCGAGCTAGCAAGGCCTGGGTCGCGCGCCCCTCACGCCCAACCCCTGCTCCCCAAACACCTGGGGGAAGGCCGAGGCGCTAAGAAGATCCGACGGGCCAGGCCCAGGTTCCCTGGTGTTTGACCCACAAGGCTCAGGCTGTGCCCCAGGGGAGTCCTAGGACCCCAAAGAGCCCTTAGGGAAGGAGGCTTGGCGGGCAAATGGCGTCAGAGGACTTGGAAATCCTCCCGGGAGGTGTCGGTGCTCGGCTGGGCCCCACGTGGTGGAGGAGGCCAGACGCGCGCAAGCTCGTGAAAAGGGGCGAGCGGCCTGGTGTGTACTACGGGAGGCCCCTGGGGACTCGGGGCACGCCCTCGTGGGCAGCGCACGGGATTGTCAAGGCCCAGGGCCCCAGCCTGCAGCCCGGTTTCCCGCCCTTCCTCGCGGCCTCTCTCTGCAGTTCTTGATGGCCACCAACTCCCTGAGCACGTGCTGCGAGTCCAGCGGCCGCACGCTGGCGGACTCCGGGCCCGCCGCCTCGGCCCAAGCGCCGGTCTACTGCCCGGTCTACGAGAGCCGGCTGCTGGCCACCGCGCGCCACGAGCTCAACTCGGCTGCGGCGCTGGGCGTCTACGGGGGTCCCTATGGCGGGTCGCAGGGCTATGGCAACTACGTGACCTACGGCTCAGAGGCGTCCGCCTTCTACTCGCTGGTAAGGGGGCATCCCTAGCCCTTGCCCTGCCCCTGGCCCTCGATTTGCCAAGCCCACTTTTCCCCCAGTAGGCGCACCAGTCCGGTCCCCGGACTGTCACAGCGGGGAGGCGCTCACCTTGGCTCCCTTCAACTTTGCGCCTCCCAGCCGGGACCCTCAGAACCCCACTCCCACCCACTGGGACGGGGTGACCTGGCAGGTGGCCACTGCGTTTCTCGTTTTTGGTTCCCTGCTAAATCCTCGTCAGCTGGCAGATTCGGTCTGCGTGTGTTCCCCGCTTCTTCCCTGCTGGTAGATTTCCCTCCCTCATTCCACGACCCCATTCTCCTCTCCCCGCCTCCTTCACGTTCCTGGCCTCCCTCTTCCTGCCCTCCCAGCCCCTCTCTGACTCATTCCTCCTATTTCCCTCTTCCTCCCTGTCCCCTGCTTTCGCCCCCCTCCTCCTTCCTCCCCCTCCTTGTTCCTCCCCTCCTTGCTCCTCCCCCACCCTTGCTCCTCCCCCACCCTTGCTCCTCCCATTTATCTCCTCCCTCCTCCCCTCCTGGCTTCCATCCCCTCCCTCAGCAGTCCCTCCCCTTTCCCCACCCCTTTTTCCTCCCCCTTTGAGTACCTCCCCAGGGCACCCCCAGCCGTTCCAATCCCCGCTCCTCCCAGCTGCCCCCTATTGCCGGCCCCCAGTTCTTTCTCGCTTCCCTCCACCTTCCTTCTACTCCACACCCACCTTCCCCGCCCCACGCCCACCACACACTGCTTCGGCAACTCAGAACATCCCCACTTCACGTTTGGGAGATCAGGTTTTAAAGCAAGGGGGAAATCAGCTCCTTCCTGCTGGGGCATAGGGCTGCCCGGGTATCCGTGCCAAGCCTTTGGGAGATGGGGGGCTCCTAGGAGAGAGGCTGGAGGGGGGTCGCCTCCCCAGAAACTGCGACCCCAGATCCTTGGCTCCTACAGAACAGCTTTGACTCCAAGGATGGTTCGGGATCTGCGCATGCGGGCCTGGCGCCAGCAGCCTACTACCCTTATGAGCCGGCTCTGGGCCAATACCCCTATGACAGGTGAGGACCCACCCCTCCTAACCAGCGCTAGCCCCACGGGCCCTCTGCACTGTCAGCCCCCAACTCCCCTCTACCATCACACCCCCTTTCTGGAAGGCGGGAGGCAGGAAGAGAGACACTCCTAGGTCAGGGGTGACCTGACTCTGTGGTCTATGGGGTCCAGCCTCCTGTCGAACCTGCTCCTGCACAGCCACGGTTAAAATGCTCCCCAGTCTCCCCCGTCCCCCACGTTGTTGGGCCCCAGAAGTCCTCGATGTGCGGCAGCTTTCAGGGAAGTCGAATCTGGAAGGCCTAGTTCACGGGGCAGCCGGCTCTGCAAACTCTGGGCACCTCCTTCCAAGTGTGCACACTGCCCCTACAGTGGGAACAGCAGGGAGCCCCTGGTGGCCTTCCTGGCTCTCCTGGCCCACTTTTGAACAGCATGCCCCACCTTCCTCGATGCAACCATTAAAAATTTATCCAAAGAAAGTACACTTAGGCCCCTTGGGTGCTTTCTCCTCCTGGGCAGTAATGACCCTTCCTGCCACAGGTGTTAAATATCCGGGTATGGGCTCGCATGTCTATACCTTTTTATGGTTTGGGGATCAAAGGGGTAGGCGGTCATCCCCATAAAGGAATTGGCCTGGACCTCTCTGTCTTCGGAAGGAGTCCAGGCTCCCTGTAAGTTTAGTCAAATATGATATTTGCCCTTTGGCCACAGAAGACAAGTGCCAGTGGGCAGCGGCACCCGGTTGGGGCTTGGGTCCTACCTAGGCCTTATGACCATGACCACAACCCCGACGGGGAAGCAAAGCCCATCCTGGCGTGCCCCTGGCCGACCCCCTCCCCTATGCCCGCGATGCCCAGGGCCCAGAGGGCCCAGCCTGAGCCCATTGCAGAGCCTGTCTCCAGGTATGGAACCATGGACAGCGGCACGCGGCGCAAGAACGCCACGCGCGAGACCACCAGCACGCTCAAGGCCTGGCTGCAGGAGCACCGCAAGAACCCCTACCCCACCAAGGGCGAGAAGATCATGCTGGCCATCATCACCAAGATGACCCTCACGCAGGTCTCCACCTGGTTCGCCAACGCGCGCCGGCGCCTCAAGAAGGAGAACAAGATGACGTGGCCGCCGCGGAACAAGTGCGCAGACGAGAAGCGGCCCTATACGGAGGGCGAGGAGGAGGAGGGGGGCGAGGAAGAGGCGCGGGAGGAGCCCCTAAAGAACTCCAAGAACGCAGGTGGGTTGGGAGGTTGTCTCTGGGGGCTGAAGCCCTGGGGGGCAGGCTGGGACCTTCCTTTGCCTTCTCTGCAGTTCTAGGACTTCTTGGGGGTCCCAAACACGGAGCCCCATGCCTAGGAGGTCACCGTGCAAACCGGTTCCGCCTCATGCCACCAATGTGTGGACTGTGGTGGTGACCCCTGAGCATTTAAAGGAATTCAAATCACGTTTAAAAATATCAGGCCGGGTGCGGCGACTCAGACCTGTAATCCCAGCACTTTGGGAGGCAGAGGCAGGTGAATCACGAGGTCAGGAGATCGAGACCACCCTGGCTAACATGGTGAAACCTCGTCTCTACTAAAAATACAAAAAATTAGCCAGGAGTGGTGGTGGGCGCCTGTCGTCCCAGCTATTCGGGAGGTTAAGGCAGGAGAATGGTGTGAACCCTGGAGGCGGAGCTTGCAGTGAGCCGAGACCGGGCCACTGCACTCAAGCCTGGACTACAGCAAGACACCGTCTCAAAAAAAAAAAAAAAATTAGACGGCTCCCTCCCCCATTGGAGGCCCCTGTGTTGCCAGTTTGTGGCCTCGTGGCCTCGTGGCCTCTGGAGGAAATGGGAGACTCGAAGAAAGGCTCCGAGTGCTTTTCCTAGCGTCAGGATCAGGCCTCATAATGGTGAACAGAGACAGGGGGTCTGATTCACCTGCCACCCCTCTCCCTCCACTGGCCACGCATTCTCTCCCGCAGAGCCCGTGGGCAAAGAGGAGAAGGAGCTGGAGCTTAGTGACTTGGATGACTTCGATCCGCTGGAAGCAGATCCCCCGGGGTGCGACCTGAAGCCGCCCTTCCAGTCCCTGGACAGCGGTCTGGAGCGCGTCCCCGCCGCGCCCGACGACCGGGTCAAGGAGGCCTCAGGCGCGCTCCGGATGCCTCTGGCCGCGGGTGGAGGAGCTGCTCTGGACGAGGACCTGGAGAGGGCCCGGAGCTGTCTCCGCAGCGCGGCGGCCGGGCCGGAGCCACTGCCGGGCGCAGAGGGCAGCCCACAGGTCTGCGAGGCCAAGCTGGGGTTTGGGCCGGCGGGGGCGTCGGCAGGCCTGGAGGCTAAGCCGCGCATCTGGTCCCTGGCCCACACAGCCACCGCCGCCGCCGCCACCGCCCTGAGTCAGACTGAGTTTCCGTCGTGCATGCTCAAGCGCCAGGGTCCCGCTGCCCCTGCAGCTGTGTCCTCCGCGTCCGCCACGTCCCCGTCTGTGGCCCCTGCCCGCTCTGGTGCCCTGGACAGGCACCAGGACTCCCCGGTAACCAGTCTCAGAAACTGGGTGGACGGGGTCTTCCACGACCCCATCCTCAGGCACAGCACTTTGAACCAGGCCTGGGCCACCGCCAAGGGCGCCCTCCTGGACCCTGGGCCTCTGGGACGCTCGCTGGGGGCGGGCGCGAACGTGCTGACTGCACCCCTGGCCCGCGCCTTTCCGCCTGC